GAGATGTGCTACTAACCCTGCTGCATCGCCAGTTAAATGATTTTTTAAATACCACATCTTCTGTGCATCTGGTAATTGAGTGAGGATCATTTCTGTGAACAAGTTGTCGAACTCCATCCACTTAGTATATGTTCCGTCAAACTTCGGAATTGTTATGTTAGGTAACCTTACTTGCACCTTTTCTGCAATGAGAGGCGGTTGCTGTTGATTTGATGTCACATTCGACGTTATTGACACCAACACATTTTGAACTTATTCTTCTAGTTCAATATATTTCTGGATATCATATCCAACTTCTATTGCATTAGAATGAACTTCCCAGATTTTAAAATTGATGGCTTCAATTTCTTGCCATAATTTGTTGATTCTGTCAATATTTTCCTGATAATATGACAGAGGCTGTTGCTCGTTCATGCTCTTGACGTCATTGATGAGCCGCAATAACGAACATGATATTGCACGTTGTTTGTTGATGAGCCCTTGGATCTGTGAATCAGATGTTCTAGCATCTGTGTGCCCAACATTAAATTTTGATGTTGATGGAACAGTCACAAGCTCGACTATTTCTTCTTGACCGAATTGTTTAATGGCCGTTTCAAATTGTCGACTGTACTGTTTGTAGATTTTCAGGATCTCTTGATAATATTCCTTTTTTATGTAGTCGTGTTCGACTGGAATAGAACCATGACTCTGAATTTTATTATCGACTTCATCGAAGGATTCCCATGCTGAACTTAAACGCCTCAGTCGTTTTTCATAGTAGGCCTTGGTTTTCCTTGCCTTACCATCCTTCTTGAAGTTTTTACGATGTCCAGGATTTCAGTACCTGTTTCAGCCTGTTGATTGAAAAGGTCCTCCATGGTCACCAGAAATTGATTGTTGAAAACGTTGATACGTGTATGTCACCAAATGACAACTATGATATGTGATAAATCACGAATATGTCCACAAATGACAATGATAATGCGTGATATCTCACGAATATGTCCACAAATGACAATGATGATGCGTTATGTTTCACGAATATGTCCACAAATGACAATGATGATGCGTGATATATCACGTGTATGTCCACAAATGACAATACTGATGCGTGATAGATCATGTCGGGGTCACCAAAATTTCATGTACTGTACCTAGTTTGATACAGCTTTTAGCCAATCCGGCACTTAAACCAGCTTAGCGTTTACACCTTATGTTTTCGTCCGTATCTAGTCTGATACGGATTTAGCTAATCCGGCACATTAACCAGCTTAGCATTCACTTACGCAATCCGGCACATGAACCAGTTTCGTATTTTATATAAACAGATATATATATATTTTCATGTATACATGTGTTTATTTAATTAATTATTTATTTATTTAATTGGTGTTATTATTTTTCAAATTCGGCACATAAACCGACTTTGATCAAGGTTCTTTTAGGCACTTAAACCAAAAGAAAACGCTTGTTTGAATTCAGGTGTTTAAATTGAATTGAATGTTTATTGAGAAATGTTCTGCTTTAATACAAAATTATTAATGCTAAGCTTATGATAAAAGAGGAAATGCACCTAGTTCCCACGATTTGTTATCCGATGGACTTTGAACATTCAAGGCCAAGGGCATACGTGGGAAATATGTGCATTACCTAAACTTATACTATTTAATGCAGTCAGCAAGCTGGTATATGTATTTTGCCATATACCAACTTGCTTCACAAATTTGATGACTTAAATGTGCTATCATTTATGCCATGCGCCAACTCATATTGCACCTGTGGGAGCAACAAAACTGTCGCAGCGGCTTGCCTATTGCTGCAACTGACAACGAACACACGATAAAAGAAAATGAACATAATGCTTATCAACCTCGAACAGTGGCGTGTGAAGATGATCATGTTACGTCTGGCACGCTGATAGCGTGCGAATATTCAGTTGTGAGAGCCAGCAACATTGCTAAAAATATGTGATAACACAAAAACCAACAACAACAAAGACAGAATAAGAAACTAAATTAAAGTACTTATTTACACATACAATAATTATGATAATTAATATATTTATATATAAAATTAATATGATATTTATGATAATAATTATGATTATTAATAATTGATTTTTATACTAAATTTAATATAAAACTTAACATTCTCCCTCCTGTTGACTTCGGTCAAATCTGTGCCTCTACGTCAACTTCGAATTTGGATATTGATTGTTGTTGATATGTTCGGGGGCGAGGAACTGGATTGTTGTTCTGCCTTTTTCGTTTGCGTACGTACCGAACTATGATAATACATAGTATCAATATACTTACTCCAAGTGCTGGGATCTCAACCGAGAGAAGTCGCTACTGGCGCGACAGTCGAGGTAACCGTCAGGCTAAAGAGCTTGTTCTCCCCTATAGTTATAATAAGATATCCTCCTTTAGCAGAACAGAGTTGAGGTTGCTAGTGGGATATCTAACGGGTTACCATGGGCTACGTTACCACCTCAACAAAATGGGCCTATCCAAAGAGATAGATTGTAGACTCTTCTTGGAGACAGAGGAGACAACCAGCCACATTCTATGTGACTGTCCATATTTAATCTGGGCCAGGAGGAGATCACTGGGTCGGGAACTACTAGCACCTTCCGACATTAGGAGGTCCTCAACAACCGACATTCTGGCTTTCATTCGAAAGGCGGAATGTCTTTTGTTCAGTTAAGGTCTGTTGTAGCACAAAAGATCAATCATGGTCGCGGTGCTCTGCTCAAATGGGAGCTAATACCCTGTTCTTTCTTATCTTTCTTATCTTACTCCAAGTGCAAAGTACTCGATGACAAAATGATGTTGATGATATGCTTTTTCATTCACAGGCAATTCTTCTTGTTGTTTAACTGTCTTTAATGCTGCTTTCAGTTTATTGATGTCATCATTATGCATGGGAACACTGATATTCTGCCAATTTAGTGGCTGATATTGTTGTTGATATGCTGTTGTATTCATTGAACTTGAATGGAAACTCGTATGAGAGTATTTTAAACGAGTAGTCAACGTATAATGACTATATAATGATGTTGTGGTATGTTTAATCACACATTCTGGAGGCAATTCCATTAATCCGGTGTCTTGCAATGCTACTTGTGGATGCTCTTTGTTACATACTGCTGGTGATCTCATGATTGAACTCATGTGTTCAAAATGAATCCCAGGTTTTTTATTGATTGATGTGATGCTGATCCCAGAAGCTGATATTAACGGTAGCCATAACATAATGAGTAACGCTAGACCATAGAGTTTTAGCCGTTTTAGTGGCGTTTCTTTAGCTTGCTGTTGTTGTGTAGTGGTAGACGAATGTAAATCTGCTGATACTGGTGCCAATCGATGTATTGGCCGCTTCAAACTATCTTTCTTAGTTTTACCATCTGCCACTGGAATTTTACCGTTAAGTCTTGGATGGGTATTCATACATCGCCCTACTGACCATTCCTTATTTTGTCGAGTGTTTCCAATAGATGTTGCTTCACGTTTTTTCTCAACTTCATGTGATTTTTGCTCATTTTTGGTGGCTACTGTATATGTGATTGTACTCTGATTACATCCACCTAATACCCAACCAAAGACGGTTTTCTGTACTACTGGTAAGCTGTTTGTCATACGAATTTGACCTACTGATAATAGTGAATAGAAATGCTCGGCACCTGTCAATAAGTCGACATCACCGTTTACATTAAACTCGGAATCAGCGAGTTTGATGTGTTTTGGAATTGGCTACTGAGATATGTCGAACGATCTGTTAGGTTGAGGCGAAATGATTTTTGGCACCACAAATGCTTTTAACTTTATATTGAAATTAGTAGTACGTGATGAAATGTTGGCAGTGACCTGATAGTTTGCCCCTCTCTTAGCTGAGCCAATTCCTTCAATCCATATTGGGTTTGGATTTAGCTTTAATTGTAATTTTTTGGCCAGCTTTTCTGTTATTAAGTTGACTTGAGAGCCTGAATCTAGGATAGCCCTGCATTCAATTGCCAAGCAACACATATGCTTTTGTTGACAGTGCTGTAGTTAATGCAACAGTAGTTTCTTCTTGATTGGAGGAAGTGGTCTTCTTGGATACAGCCGCGTTTATGTTGGTGAAATCACGTGCACCAATTGTTGGCCTCTTTGGAGTAATGTGTTGTGTGCTTTATTGCATGTGGCGCAATGTCTGCTTCTGCAATCGCTGGTTCTATGTCTGCTACGTAGACAATTGAAATACAATTTCAACCGTTGTACTGCGGAAACACGATCAGGAACTGATAATGCCAAGAACTTGTTACACTGGTAGATTGGATGGCCATTAAGGTGACACATCCTGCAAGCTAGCATATTGTTTGTAGTTACTGTTGCTGTCACTACTTTGGCTGCTGGTAGATTTGAATTAACAGTTTCCAATGATTTGAACCGCTTTTCCAAAAATAACAGAAACTCATCTATTGATTGTAATTCTCGCGAATGCGCTAGAGACTGTTCATACAGTAGTCTAGTTTGTTAATCCAATTTTTAAGTTAATACGTATAACAATATTGGACTCCAGGAACTGGTGTCAATGCCCAAATTGTTCAATGCTAATAAACTATCCAGTGTACAGTCATGTATGACCCGAATGTCATTCGCTGCTGGAGCTCTCACAGTCGCTTGATTTATGATTTTCTGGATGATGGAAGAAACAATGATTCGTTTATTGTCATAACGTTCCTTCAATATCTGCCATGCTGTTGCATAGTTTTGATTTGTTAGAGCGAGATGTGCTACTAACCCTGCTGCATCGCCAGTTAAATGATTTTTTAAATACCACATCTTCTGTGCATCTGGTAATTGAGTGAGGATCATTTCTGTGAACAAGTTGTCGAACTCCATCCACTTAGTATATGTTCCGTCAAACTTCGGAATTGTTATGTTAGGTAACCTTACTTGCACCTTTTCTGCAATGAGAGGCGGTTGCTGTTGATTTGATGTCACATTCGACGTTATTGACACCAACACATTTTGAACTTATTCTTCTAGTTCAATATATTTCTGGATATCATATCCAACTTCTATTGCATTAGAATGAACTTCCCAGATTTTAAAATTGATGGCTTCAATTTCTTGCCATAATTTGTTGATTCTGTCAATATTTTCCTGATAATATGACAGAGGCTGTTGCTCGTTCATGCTCTTGACGTCATTGATGAGCCGCAATAACGAACATGATATTGCACGTTGTTTGTTGATGAGCCCTTGGATCTGTGAATCAGATGTTCTAGCATCTGTGTGCCCAACATTAAATTTTGATGTTGATGGAACAGTCACAAGCTCGACTATTTCTTCTTGACCGAATTGTTTAATGGCCGTTTCAAATTGTCGACTGTACTGTTTGTAGATTTTCAGGATCTCTTGATAATATTCCTTTTTTATGTAGTCGTGTT